AATTCTACTTAAGTACAGTAACAAAGTATTTGTACTTAGTTACTTTACAACTCTGGTCATGGTTATTGTAATGTTTCTTTATCAACACTGAGAAAGATGGTGCTCCAGCTTGCTGTTTTTATTCTGCTGCTTTCTCACTTCTGAACTTACATATATGTTACTGGCGCCCCCTTGTGGGCAGCTTCTTAAATAGCAACCACCATTACATCCCCCTATCAAACAGGTATTAACATTAACCATAACTCTTATTATATTCTAACTTTGTATAAATCATAACAATCTTTCTAAATATTAAACATGTCAAATATTGCATCAAAAATGTTCTTTAGCACTGTTCTGCTTAACAAAAGTCTCAGCAAAATGAAATGAAATCTTGCATTTTTGAACTTAACAAATCTAAWACACACAAACACATTTCCAGTCAGTTTCAACGGACTTGGCGGTTTTATTGCATCCATTTCGTGTTGCTTCTTATTCTTACCCCACTCCTGGTACCATGTAATGTTTCTTTATCATTATTAATTGTGTAATTTCARTCAACACAAATGTGTGTCAAAATGTGTTATTTTTGACACAAATAYATGCATAAAATGTGTTTTCAGATTAGGTTAAATAAAAACGGACATTTGTATTTGAAGATCATAGACACACTTTTATTACAATTAATTACAAGAACAAAGCTGGGACAGTTGCAATATTYAACTCAAATAAATACATTTTAAAAACAAATTCAATTCATCAAGTCAACAAAATTCTCATTTTCTAATGTTATTCAACACGCAGTTATTTTGTAAAGCTGCCAGTATATTTGATCAGAATCAGAATCAGTTTTATTGCCTTTGTCAATGAACAGGATTCACAGACAAGGAATTTGCTTCGGTGTAAAGGTGCAAAAGAGGCAAGGCAAGTAGAAGGCACCATATTTGAGAAGCGGTCTGTTTTACAGGATTCTCACCAGCTCTCAAGTTCAACATACTTGGCTTATTTTTGACATTTCCACTTCCACAGTGAAAACCTGAAATTCTGTCATTCAGTTCTTCCAAAGTAATCAACCTTTCCTTATAAATGAAACAATGTAGCAGTAGTTTAACCTCTAGGYGAGCTACACCTTCAAGAACATCATGCATGACGTCAATGCTTGAGTTTTCTGTAGCTTATTCAAACAAGTCTTCTTCTGCTAGGTTCATTTAGTCCAACATGGTGCTGGTAATTTTGTTTTTTTACACAGCTCCACTTCATCTTCGTCATATATCACCTGTGCATCTGCTTTATCAATCATGCAAAAGTGACAAAATTTATTGGCAGAAAAAACTTTCCAAGTGTATGAAGTGCAAGGTTGTCTGCTGCAAGCAGACTGTACCATACAGGTGATGGTTTTGTCCGTTTAGTCTTAATGTTATTCCAACATCTTCGAGACGTTTTAGGTCCTCCACAAGTGGCTGTCAAATCTGGTCCAATCCATTCTCTGTCAATTGAGTTGAACAGAAGACAGATGAATATTAGCAAGTGTTGAATTGCAGCTGGTTGGCAAACTCCATATGGTGAAATGCACAGCTCCTAGCTTATGTATTTTTGTTTTTGAACCCAATAAGGGGTTTGTTGTCTCCAGGTCATCAAAGTACAGTTGTATTTGCAAAGCACTGGGGGGGACTTGTGAAACAATGGATGGGGAGAGAAATGTGAGCCATCACAATCACACAATTTACTGTCTCTGCTCTTGTTTTCCAAAAGGAAGAGGTCCTGCATTTCCTCATGTTCAAATAAAAACATTAAAGTTTCAATTACAGATGTGAACTGGCATGTGTCCGCGACTAAAACTTGTTTTTCCTGACCATTTTTTCTTGCTGTGTCAGATCTGTGACCTAAAATATTTCTTTTGGTTTAACAAGTGAAAACTTTTCTGTAAATTTTTTGTTAATTTTATATTGTGTGTCAAGATTATCAAACATGTGCTCGGCATCTTCAAACTCTTTTATCAAAGCTTTAGTAGCATCACTGTCACCAGGTACCTGCAAACTGCTCAACAAGGTTGTAGTTGACTGCTGCAACCTGTCAGCGGTTCTATTAATCAACTCTTTTGCACAATTCACACTTTGCACAACATCAGAAAAAGTTACATTTGACGAGGAATACATCTGGGCAACAGATGAACCTCTATTGTTCATAGAGGGTTATGTTTGTTTGTTTGTTTGATCCCCATTAGCATCAGCAGCGTGCTGCATCAGCTATTCTTCCTGGGGTCAATTAAAAAAAATAGAAATTACATTTAAGAAATCACACTACAGATAAAACATTAAAACAACACATTCCACCTTTCAGTATTTCAAAGAAAGCACAAACTTTAGCTTTAAATATGGAAATAATGTGCCCTATCACCTGACTATCGTTGGCGGCCCTGATGAGAGCAATAGAGCTAATCAAGCCTATTGATAGGCGATGGCCCTGTTTTGCATGTGACTAACCTGTTTCTCCACCATGTGGAGGCAGTGCTTAAAGTTACTCTTCAGACTGAAGAAATCTCTTGGAGGAGAGACGAAACATTTCACCAAATAACCTGTCCAGAGGACCTACTTGTTTTTTTCTGTCTGATATTTTCTTGTAACTTAAAAAAAAACAAAGTCCTAACCTAAGTTCAAAAGATCATACAAGTTGACAGTGTTCTACATTAAAATGGTTATTTTCCCCTTTGTTGCTCCAAAAAATATAAGCTTTATGAAGAAAGAATTGTGCGTTTTTGCCAGAACTTGCAGTCGCAGTACCACCTCCCCACCACCAGGGGGCGCCGAGTGCGCACGCTCGTCACCGCCGACAACAACCCGTGAAGCAGAAGAAGGAAGCCGACAGCAGCTCGTGAGCACTGCAGTGCACAACACCGACCGTCCAGCCTCTCCGCGCTCCTCTTTCTTCACCCTCAGCGACGACACGCAGGAAAACGGGCGTCTGTCTTCGGTTTTAACCAACCGAGGTTTCGCCGCATCCCCACGTCCTGCCTCCTCATTGTACCTCCGCGTGAGTACCATGTTTTTATTATTATTATTATTTTAATATTCAGGAGAGCTGCGGTGGATACATGCTAACGTGATTTGGGTTCCGGTGGTGTTTATATAATATTGGGCTCGTAATCCTCTACGGCAGCGCAGACGTCCGGTTTAACGGGTTAGAATAGMATTAATGGTTCATAAATAAAAAGCAAAAAAAACCAACGTTATTCTATTTATAGGGGCGGCTTTGTAAAAATGACTGCGCCTGTCACTGTGTGTGTGCAGTGCTGTGAGGTTTGTAGCGGTTATTACCCAGCTTTCTTCTGTCAGAGGAGCCAGTTCTGAAGGTCCACTCGGGAGTCCGCATCGTGCTCAGGGAACAGGGATACCCTGACATTAAAGCCGTGYTTGCTGCCGCAGTGTGCGGGATGTTCTGCAGGTAAATAACCCGACAGGAGCTCCTGTCTTCACAGAAAGGTTGTTTTCTTTCTTTCTTTCTTTTGCAGAAAAGAGCATTGTGATCATGCAGCGCAGTAATCGGTTTAGGTGCCTTTTTGTCTGATGTTTGTAGTAAATCTCTCTTCTTCTCAGCAGATATTCTCCATATGATACAGATTACTGTGCATGTGTCTTAAGCCAGACCTTTCTTTAGGTTTTGCTTCCAAGGAACCACAGTCTTGTAATCTTTCAAAGTGGTCTTTAATCTTGCAGGGCGGTCTTAAGTTGTGGTTCTCTGTGCGTTTTTCTGAAGTGTTGATGGGGAATTGAGTTCTGGATGATTTCGCTCAGCTCATCCAAAGTCTCTTGGGTTAGCAGAGAAAGGGAGCTAAACTCATTTATGTCTGCACGTAAGTATTTAGGAATGGCCCTTTTTATAAAATCTTTCATATGCACTAAAACAGTGTTTCCCAAAGTTGGGGTCGGGACCCAAAGTGGGGTCCCGAAACATCAAGGTGAGGTCCTGAAAAG